AAATATTGGCACCAAATTGATAATGTTGATTACAGAACATAATTTACATAATAATTTAAATTTATAATGTCTAAAATGTGCAACTTCTACATACATTATATCTGACAACTAAATAATGGAATGAAGCATTTATACAGAATGTATAGTACCACTCTATCGAAAATGAAAATCCAAGTGAAAGGTCTAGCATCATTTTTCAATGCGACTTCTTTTTATGTAATTCGAATTCATCATGTGGCATTAGTATGCACATCTGCTACTTTTTCCAAAACAGTGCCTTGCACTGAAGAATGATAAAAGACTTTTTTATTTGAATTTTCATTCTCAGTAGAGTGGCTTAGATATTATGTAATAATAGGACATCCTGTATATGTAAATATCAAAATATTCATGTATGAATTAATAGTTAACTATTTAATTTGAGAATCGAGGCGTTCTGACTTGGAATGAAGTTTTTGAAATAATACATTCATATTTTTCTCAGCAAACAAAGTGCAAATAATACCTTCTAAAAGAACATACAACAGTCTTCTATTAAGAATGGGTTTTTGAAAAAGTTCAAAAACAGTAAGTAGTCCTCTTCTAGTAGTTTCAGAACCAATAATATGTTTTAATTCATCTGGAATAAATAATCAAGAAAAATATTAGTATAAATTAAAATGAGCGACTTTAGGAAAGGCTTAGTATACACGACAACATATTTAGAATATTCCAATAAAGCAAGTTACTGGGATTATTTTAGAACAGGACCTTGAACCGTGCACTGTATTTCTGGAATTAAGATTAGAGAAGGCGCTTGACAGAATTGATCGGCATATGGCATGATATATATTTGAAGAAAGAAAAGTGAGTAAAAAATTAATCGAAGCTGTAAAAAGTACAATTTATGTAGATGTCTCTAGAAAAATTAGCAATCTTTCAGGAGGTGATAGGGCAATATAGAATAGATAAGAAAATTAAGTAAATGTTTGTAGATCTGAAAGTTCACCGTTGTCGAGAAATACGTAGTTGTAAGTAAAGGCAAATCTAATTCCGGCCCTGGATTGAAATGTGACAATGCAACGTCGTATTCAATCAGCTGGTAACCAGCAGCATCAGTGTTGTATTTCTTTTGTAGTTTTTTGCTTATGTATTGTGTTATTTGTTGGATTAGATTAAGTGTGATTCAAGATGTTTATGTTACAGCCAACTGCAGTTAAGTTATTTTTCTTTGAATGTTGCTCGTTTGTTAAGCAAGTTATACTTAATTTACTTTCTTTAGCGATGTGCCCCTTCCAATGTCTTGGATGCGCGCTGGCAAAATCGTAGGTAGAGAGAAAAAAGCTCATTATACTCTCGACTCTTGTTCATTAAACATACTTTTTCATACAGTACCTGCCAAAAGTTTTGTTCAATCATGAATAGTAGTGCGAATCGAAAACAAGCGTTAAAGCCTTTAATATGTCTTCAAATATAAATAAACATCTCGTTGATATTTTCAGTAGTAA